AAAATAAGCTAAAAGTCGACTAAATTAAATATATAAAAATTATTATTACTTTTTAATGTTTAAAAAGTAAAATCAAATTAACGAACTAAGGTTTTTTATAGTCACTAACCATAAATAATAGAAAATAATAGAAATAATAGAAAATAATAGAAAAAAACCTTTAAAAAGGTAGATTTAATAGGAAATTGCTGTTATGGTAAGTGGACAACCAATATTATACCAAATATCAAACTGTGGGTAACTTACGCGGCTATTTCCAAGGTATCACTGCTTTAAGTCATACCTTTGCAGATTTAGACACGAAGAAGACCATTACTATACATAGAATTGAAGCGATGTAGTGTTCTACATCAACTCTGGAAGGTATAACTTCGCGAAATGGACCCTAGATGTTGCTCTTGCAAATAAAAAAAAATCTTAGAGGACTAAATAAAAATGCAGAAAGAGAAGTGCCATTAAAACTATAGCAAAAAAGAATAAATATATCTGTACAGCACCTCCTACACATAAAACTCAACTTCCAATTCTTCATTAATAATTGTTTTGTATAATAAATTTACATACATATTTCTTTTTAAGTATATAAAAATATTCATAGTGACTGCGTTAAGTAAATATAATAATATTGGCCCACAATCAAATAATTAGAATTGAAGACATCATAAATAATCACACGACATAATGGCTTATTGATAAGATAAAAAGACCTGCCGGCAAACATATAAAATATTTTTATATTTTTAGATAACTGAATTAATTATATTATAGCATTTTATGTATTATATATATAAAGCAAATATATTTAGTAGTAAAATAATCTTGTCGATCAATCAAGTGGAAATACAGGTTTGTTCAAATAATCTATGGTTAAGTTTAAAGGTTGAAGTGGATCGCAAAAATTTTGCAAAAAAACTTAAAATTTTTTTTTTAATCTCTAATTTAATAAAATTATTATTATATATTATTATTAAAAGGACAATTATACACCGTCGCCATCTATGAGATATATTAGGTAGCATTATATTTAAATAGATCAGTTATCACTTGTATAATGCTACAACTATATTAGATGAATTTATTCTAAAAATAAGTTGATTTTAGTATCTGCAATGAATTATTGAAAAAGTCCTTAACAACATTATTTACTGGAGTAGTAAAATCAGATATTTACTTCACTTCACTTTCACGTGTAATCAGTTCTCAATTTAACTTAAATGTATAACTCAAAGTCAACAGCAGTGCAACTACCAGCTAAATGGCCTAAGGAACGAACTAAGAAAACAGGCTATAATAAATAAGAAAATATTTTCAAAAAAAAAATTCCTGTGTAAATATTTTCAATATTTTCAGAAGTTATTATTTATTAGTTAATTGTAAGTAATAAGTATTCAGAAAGAAGAACGGGAATTATAGACTCATGGTTTTTGCAATAACAAAAAAGAATTTTTCATTAAATCCATTTAAAACTTAGGCATTTAACATTATATATATACTAAAATATATGTACTAAGACATAAATACAAGAAAATATTTTAAAAATTTAGATAAAATTAATTTAAAACATGTAGAAATATTTGAACGTCCTAATAATAGAGATATATGTACATTATTTATTGATAAGATTGTAACTGGGCTTCAACTCCTGCCAGAATGGTGAGTAAAAGAAAATTTTAATAGTAAATTGACAAAGCATGCTAGATCGGGATAATAATGCAAGTATGAGTGGAAAATTCAGGCGAAGACGATTGAAAATGATAGGAGATGTTAACAGAAGAGAATTACACGTTCTAGGCTATGCCATTAAGTTACAAACTCAGCAAATAGAATAGATGTTGCGTTGCTATTTAATCGTCAATTTTGAATAGATTTAAACTATAGAAGCAGTTTTTGCTGGAATCAAAAGGTAAATGTGATGATGTAGCTTAGTAAGAAACAAATATAAAACTCCTATCAAGAAAAAGTAATACCTTGAGAAAAAGTACAACATCGTGGTTTCTTTTTCAGTTTTTATATACATACATAGATATACCTACATTGATATTTAGTGAAATTATTCTGGATTAGAAGACGATTTTTGTTTTGCTAAAAATATTACTTTTCTATTTTTATATCATAATAGTTTTTTTTTAGAAAATCAAAGTGGTTTAAACCTGTGTTTTCCATTATACTGTAACACAATGGGCTGATAAGCCTGAATGAATCCCTTTAGAGCGCCGGTATAACCTAAGCTAATCTTCAATAGAGAATATTTATAAATTATATACAGAACGATCAGCTAGCTATGTGATCAACCAAAAAATTCACATAATTAAAGACTGAAACGGTGCATTAATTTTTATTCTTTTTCACTATTGGAATTATAATAAATTGATGCGTATACACAAGTATGAATGTAATGAATATTAAGTCTATTTATTAGAATATTGGTTATGTTTAATTAAATTTTACTAATCAATTTAAAAAGTAACAAAGAGTTCAAGCTCTGGTACTCGCAGGCTCAAAAAATTATTTACGAATAATTATTATTAAATACAGTGGTCGTCCAGTATAACGAACGCTCGATATTACGAATTTTCGATATAACGAACACCCAAAATATTTACATTGATTGTTCTATATAACGAACGAAAAAAAAAATTCTGCTCCATATTACGAACAAAAAATTTTTTGTTTCTTATTCGTTTTTGTTTTATACAAATTATGCTTTTGAATATAATTTTACTATAAAACTAGCATTATTCAGCTTAGAATATGCATGTAATTGTCCGTTTTTTTTTTTTTTCTGAGAAAAATGCCTATATATGGCAAAATGCATATATGCGGGCGCCACTGATCTGTTGTTCACAAATTCAGTTTATCATATACGAAATACTATCCAGACATACATATGTACATATTAAGGTGTTTATATTTAATATGTATTTGTTTGAAAATATCATTTAAAAATTAATTTTGACAAAGCGGACGTTTAAATCGTTGTGAATTAAATTTTAGTTTTTAAAAAGCTGTTCAGAAAAGTTTTGAGTGTAGTAAAAAACAAACAAAAATTAATGATTTTTTTTACTCTACACTATGATTGAATGCGTCCTTTCTTATAAATAATTTTTGTAACAACCGAATAAAAAATACTTTTAAATAAATATATACTAGTACGTGTTTATAAGTTAATTTATGAACTCAAATATATGAAATCTCCTTAAAAAACCATATTGGTAGGTAAATGTATAACATTCGATATTACGAATTTTTCGATATAACGAACAAGGGGTGCAACATAAAATTCGTTATATTGGACGTCCACTGTAATAGGCTTTGAATGCACCCCGACCTAAAAGATTTATTGTGCGAATAATTAAATATAAGACATAATTCCAAGACCATTGATAATGCGTATTTGGCAATACTCGAAATAGTAAGGTCCGCCAAAAATTCAATTAATTAAAATAGTATAAAAAAAATGTTTGTTCGTATAGTTGATTACTTTTTGAAACCTCTCTATTAAATATATTATAGTTTCTATTTAGTAGAAGGGTCACTGCTGTCATAACACAATGTTGATAAATGAAAGCTTTTAAGATTGTTTAGATTACAATCACCCTAGCTGACAAGTATACTTAATCCCTGTGATCCACAGCTCCACACGGAACCATAACAATTTTACTTATTAAACCGTCTGGGTGCTATTATAAAGAGCAGAAGATTTTTAATCCTAGCGCTGAATAGCTTTGTCAAAAAGCTAAATGCATGTTGCCGAAGAAGTTCACACTACTGCTAGTTAGAATCTGGCAACTACAGATGAAGTGGTCCCATATTATTTCTTCTACTTTATCTCTACAAATCTTATTACAACAATAATGAATACAATCCCAATTAAGACTATCATCTATTTTCAAGAGTTGCCGTGACGACATGCTACAGTCATTAATCAGGAGTTGCTGTGTTCGAATTTCGTCCGATACTCAATAAAACCAAACCAAATAACATATCTGTTTTCTAGATTATATATATGTATATAAAATAAATTTAAAGGTTTTTTTTCCATTTCATAATACTATACGCACATTATTTCATTAACAAAATTTTAAACATTTCACAATTATTTTTATTTCTTTACATTGCATATATTTAAAATATTTTTGGCAGGAGACCAATATATTAAAAAAAAACATATTTATCTTGCCTTGTGACATGTTTTTATTTTCATGTTTCAAATCTAATTTTTCAATACCGTCCACAGCGGACAGAAAAAAAACAATTCATCGGAAAAAACTTTCACACAACAAATACATATTAAATCAAAAATAAAAAAAAAACTTCTTAAATTCTTGGATTAAGAAAAACAATTTCCAAATCACGGGTTAAAAAAAATGCAAATTTAATACAAAAAAAAAACACAATTTGGTGGAAACGTAAACAAAGGCACACGTGTTGCCGAAAAATACAAACAGCGACGTTCCTGCTGACGAGCCCCTTTTTTGCTTAACTTTGATTGGTTGATAGTTTTCACCTACATTTTTGCGCACAAAAAATCAATGGATGCAAAAAAATTTTCACATGAAACATTTAAAATTAAAACATATTATATAAAAAAATAACAAATGTGTAAATTCAAATAAACATTTTTATTAATATTTAAGCTAACACACAAAAAAATTTCTATTTGTATATTTTGCTTTCCAAAATAAGAAAGCATATTTGTTTCCACATTATTCACATTCACTTACAATTAACTTAATTTTATATTTTCGCTTAATTTTACTTATAAACAATACTTTATTTGTTTATAACTCCCACTACAAAAAAACTTTTACGCACAATGTCCAGAGTTCCGCCAAATGATTCACGTTTTGTGTCACGTTTTTGTGGAACAATAAAATTTGTTATTGTAAAGAGAGTTGACGCACAATTGTACATAAATCAATAGCCGTGTACATTACCGTATCGCAAATACATTTTAACTAAACATTACTCTTTTATTTTTTATAGAAATAAATGCATACCTTATTTTACGATGTAATAGTAAAAGTATAAATGATTAGATAATTACATGCTTCGTACTGCAGTGCTAATACAAACAGAGAGAATTGAGACAAAATCCAATTGCATGCTTTGTTGTCTTTCTTTATCACACCATTATTATTCTTATAACGTTTTGACGCAGTGTTGTATTTGCCAAAATATCTTAAAGAATTTTTAATATTAACAATGGAAAACATCGCATATAAAAACGCTGTGAAGTTTTCAGTGGAAAACCTCATCTCTCAAATATTTCAGACACCTCTTCAAGTTTTTCTACAAGCTTTTTTTTAATTGTTGTATTTCTTTTAATTTTTTTAACAATTTTAGTAATAAAAAGCGAAATATTTTTATTTAAATTCTTTTTATGTTGCACCAATTGAAATTCTTCTGACATATGATTTTAGGTGTCAGCTCAAAACTTTTGATAGCGAATATTAAAAACAAAATGCTCGTGTGAATCTAATATGAAGTTTTGTGCACGAACGTTTAAAATTGATTTCAAAACCTGTTTCAACATAAGGTGTAATCTTTTGACATAAATGCTCTAAAAAAATACGGTGTGCTTTATAATTACCATGCAAAGCAGAAACAAAATACACTAAAATAAGCCCACCTTTTTGAAACGGCTTAACAATTAACCCATCGCACTACAATGATGCCAAATCTTAAAACTGAAGAGTAAAATATGAATAAAAGAAAAAATGATATTAAACTAAAGTTCTCCTAACTCGTTCTCTTGGTCTTCGTTTGCAGTTTAAATTCTTTATATTAAAATTGGAATAAAATTTATTATTACTATATAATTATAAAAGAATTTTGAAAGTCTTAAATGATGACACGCTATGTCGCTTTCTATTTAATTAAAGTCAATTAACATGTCACAAGGCAAGATACAGCAAATATATAAACAGACGCGTTTAAGAAATTATGAATAAAAATAGCAAAAGAACGAATATATTTTGAATATATATTTTATTAATAAAACGTTAAATAGATGTAATTTTGTTTTAAATTTTATTGAGTTGTTAGTATTCCTAATATTAAGAATTCTCCTGATAAAGGCTTAAGCGAATTTGCCGAAATACTTATTGGAATATACAAAAAACAACGCTCGAAATAAAGGCTAAAATTCTGAAAAAACAAGTAGATAAATAGATATTAGAGAAGATATTTAAAAATGTTGGTGTTGAGATACAAATTTTCACGATAATATGAAAAAAATAATTATTTCGTTAATATTTTTCAAATATGTGTAATACGCTGACATGTTTGTGTAATTGACACAATAGCAATGTTTCGTGTATTTCCAGCTGAATGAAAACCACAAAGAGGAGAAAGAAATGTCAAAACAGAACAACCAACAAAATGACTGAACAAACTTGTTCTCAAATTTAGTTCAATGAGAAAGTTCGAGTCGAATGTTTTGCTTGGTCGGTTCGTCGTTTGTGTTTTATTCAGCATAAATTAATTAAATTAAATTGTAAATACACAAATAAATATAAAATAAATAACTAATTTATATTTATTAAAATGGTTAACTTATATGTTTTATTAGAAACTATTGCAATGTATAAAAGTAATTTGTAAGCTATGTGTTTAGTGTGCTAATGAAAATAAAATTTATTTGGAATTTGCTCAAGAATATTTTAGTATTTATATAAATCAATGCAATATTTTATGTGAAATAATAGTCAGTGTGCCATAATAATTTGTCTATTTCGAGTATTTTGCATTTAAACTTAATAAAGTGGTTGATTGTTTTGTAATTGAGTACATCGAGTGAGCATCAGCTAGGTGTGATGCTGTAATCAAACAAAAATAAAGTAGCAATACATGTTTTTTTTGCTGTGATATAAAATATTTTATGCAGATGCAAGATAAATAAGATTCTTACAAAAATAAATAAATTTTAATGGTGCACGTCATCAGCTATAATTTTGGTGTTTTGCAGGTAATTGAAATTTGTGTTTACTTTTTATATGTATTTGTGAAATATTAATAATTTCAATAAAAATGAAATATTTTTAGTTATAAGTGTACACCTTTGTTTATTTAATTTATGAGTTTATTTGTTTTTATCAAATTCATTTTAAATTTTTGCAATCCTTTCATGGTATTTCGTACATTTTATCAATATCGAATCAAATTATTGCTAATATTTCTGGCGTATCGAAAACTTATTATTTTTTTTTCATTTCTTTATTTTGTTTGTTTTCTTCAGTTTTTTTTTTCTTATTTAGTGTAATGTTTGCGTTCTTTCTTTCGATTTTTGTGTGATCACTTTTGCTCCCTCTACCCCGCTGTCAATTAGTTTGACAAAAACATTTTGGAGAAATTTCTTTTGCGTTGTTCTTTTCCCTTCTGTTTGCTTTTAATTAAACGGATTTGGTAAGCAAAAAAAAAAAATTGCTTAAAGCGTTTACTGGAATATTTAAAAATATTAAGAAAATGCAATAAAATTTTTTGCTTTAATATTTTTGCAGTTTATTGCAAAATATACAAACAAAATTACTATAATTGTGATGTGATGACATTTTTGTTATTAAATTTTATAAAAGTTCGCAGCTGAAACCAAAATGTTTAAATCATTTGGAATTTTAGAAATAAATACTTCAAAATAAATAAAATTACTTAAAAGTACACTTTGTAATTTATTTATTTTTATTCAGGCAAATAGAAATTAAAAAAGGTCACAAGAAGGTTAATCCAACATATGTAAATGTATAAAAAATCACAGATTTTTTTTATTTTATTTATTTATGATTCACATATCTTTATACATATAACATATTTTAACAACGCTGATAAAGAATTCTTATAAAAATTTAATAATTCTATATAAAATTTCCGTTTTGCGATTTAAGATTTTTATTTACTAAATCTGCTGTTGTTGTTATTATTTACTTCGAAGCTTTGCAAAGTTTGCCCCACCAAACACAGCGATTTAACCCACGTTCTAAATGCAACCAAGAAAATGTTTAGCATCGGTTCGTTCGATGCTGTAAGCTAAGCAGCGGACAAGTTGCAATAGAAGTAAATCTTCGCAAACTGGATTTACTAGTTTTGAAAGAATTTATTACTTTTCAAATTGAAGTTTACTTGTCGAAGATGCTTTGTTGTTTTTTATTCTTAACCTTTCATTTTCTACAAATTACTGTAATTTCATTACTCACTTGAAGCTACAGACTTTGTCTGCTACAAAATAGTGTGAAATCAATGAACTTATAAAGTATATTCAGTATATTATATTTTTAGTATTCTTATAGTATTTAGTATAGTACTTGGTTCACTCCACTAAATTATGCTGACTATGCAAGCAAAGCAATGATGAACAAACAACATGACAAGCAATGCTCATCAACAAGCACAAAGAAATTATACAAACAACATTTGTGCAAATTAGTACAATGGAATAAAAATCATAGGAGTATTAAAAGTTTATTTAAGTCTTGTGTATTTTTCACATAACAAGTCCAAATCTTAGGAACCCATTAAAAGGGAGTGCGTGAATATTGTAGGGCTTGCTGCAGTTCTCTTTGGTCCGTAGTGCATACAGACCAATCCAAAAAAAAATATGCATTCCTGCGATTTTGTAAAAACTGTGACGACTTATAGGAAAATAACACCAACAAGCATTTTATGTGTAATTACTCACATTTGGTTCGTAGAAGAAATTGGTTTTTAAGGAAGAGATTTTTTGAATCCCTAATGGAACTGTTTATCAACTCTCAGTGCTGTACTTTGTCGAACTCTTTATCAATGAAGGTAAGAGCTATTAAATCTAACGATACGGAACTTATTTTAACTTTTAAAGTTTATTGTGAGAAATGTAGCAGTAGTAGAACAGCGAATAACTGGTAGTTATGAGGACTAAACAGATAACTGCTGACTTGAAGATATCTTGAAAGGATTTCACCAAAAGCAAATATTAATTTTATTTTGATGTTGTAGAATTTTAATTTGTAGATATTATGTTGTATTTGTTGTTGTTGTGAAACAATCTAGCAATGCATTTCTTCCTGTTTCAACGTAAACTTGTCTTTCAGTATTTGAAATGGACAAATTATATTTTGCACATACGACTGAGGAAAGGGATCTTCACCAATATTTCGAAATTAAAATCTAATAAATATAAAAATCCTATAACTTGGTATAGAAACAAAAAATCTATTTCATAATCAGAATATTCAAAATGTGTTAAGTCTGTATTTAAGTTGTAATTAAATGTCAGTTTAAGACGGAAGTGACTATTATATTCAACAGAATCTATCCTATTTGGTAAAGAGGTGTCGAAAAGTAGTGAATTACAACAACAATTCTTTTTATATTATTTTTAATTATTTGAATTTTTGGCTGACCATATTTAAGAAATTACTAGTTGTGACTACTCTCTAAAAAATAAAAAAAAAATTTATTATAATAAAAATAATAATAACCATAACAAGCAAATACAAATAATAAAAATAATCTTTACTTAACGCCAAAATAGTTGACATATTTTTAAATGGTTGTACATATTTACATTACATTTTTTGATAAAATAAAAATTATTATCAAAGCCATTCTTTATAATGTTTTTGTTGGGGAGAAATAAGACGCAGGGTAGAGTCGATAGGTGTAAAAATTTTTCAAGTTTCCTGTTTTTGATATATTCTTCATATATTTAAACTTGCTAATTATTGTTTGCTTATTTTTTTAATATTTATTTTTTATTAAATAAATAAATAGTTATTCATGAATGTTTTATGTCGACATATTTCTTTTAAATAGTTGTATGTTATAGTAAAACTAGAGTTTCTCTTTATTTATAATATAACCATTTCATGGAGCAAAGTTTATTTGCTAAATAAAATTAATTAATTTGTAAAATTTAATGTTAAACAAATATATTTTCAATACTTTTATCCAAAATCTACTGCCACTAGAACTAATATCGATTTTTTGATTATCGTAATAGAAGCTAAATCATAACCATTGGAAATTATAATTGTTTGGATATCACCTACGATAGAAATCGGTTCTGTTCTTTTAACCAAATATCAATTATAGTTAAAAAAATGATTAAATCTTATAAATAAAATAAGAGTAAAATATTAATCTTATTGGCTACGTCTTTTGATATTAAAGATTTATTCTGAGATACTAACTACTATGAAAATCAAGAAAATTTTATTTTTAAAAGTATAAGTATAATCTGAATTATATTTTTATGCCTTCATTAAGTAGTTTTTAAGTTTTTACTAAAAATTTTAAATATTTTAAATTTCAAAAGTGCACTGGGCTTAACTGAAGATTTGCTGCAGTGCTGTCAAGGTATGAGCTAGTGAGACTACGAATGAATGCTTTTGCTTACATAACATGGCTTTTTCAATGCGACTGCTCTTAACAATTGTTGACATTGAAATGAATAAAATCTAGAAATACACATGAAAAAATTTTTTACATATTTTACTTCAGTTACCAAAATTAGTTTTTCTATATATTGTTGAGATTCTGATAACCCGGGTGTTGGAATTCCCCCATTCTAGACTCTAAAATTGTATATATAACATAGTCAATTGATTATGTAATGATATATGATTTCATCAAGATATAATGAAATATAGCGTGGTAGAAAATTGGTAAATTTATCAAAACGTAGCGTTCTGGAACTAGGAATATCTTGGAGGTCTCTTTTTGTGATAGAAATAAGTTGTATATTAAAAATATTTTTTATATTTCATATGGATCACCTTACTTGTGTCTTCAACCTGCTAACAATTGTGTATGCTTTTGAATTTAAAATGTAGTTCTTGTTGACTCATATTTTGCGTTTACACTGTCTAGACTGTGGTAAAGTTTTTTTTTTGTTCCAAACTTATCTTCTTATGACAGCCCTATCTCAATTGTGGCTTGGTTTATTGTTTACTTTTAAATAAATTACTCTAACTCAAATGAATTAAAGAAATTAAGTTTTATTTTTCTTTTAGACTTTCTCAGTCTCACTCATTAATTCTTTTTTAATTGCTTTAGATTTTTTCAGTTGTTGCTTTCATTTCGCCTTTAATTTTGCGTTTGAATATAAACACATAATATATAAATATAAATAATATATATATAAATAAAATAATTATATTTTATTGTATGATTAATAATATGTAATAGTATGATGAGAGCTCTCTTAAGCGGACCCCGACGGTACCAGCAATTTTAACTGTCCGCTTTTGGATGAAAAATAAAAACTTAGAACTCTGATGGATAGCACGGTTAAGGGAGATGTACGTTTATAAAACGGACCGTTTAACGGAAACTTCATTGTAGGAAGAAAATACTACCGAAATTTTTAACTAAAATAGTTTTCCTCTAGTAGCCGGATTGTGCTGTAGCATTTGGCGGTCGTCGATTGCCGTCGGTAATGTGCGAAATGGGTTCTAAGCTTCTTCAATGGACTGCAAATAATTTTTCGTTCTTGTAAAAGGGCTTAGTTTCTGAAAATAGTGTTTAGATATCAAGAATTATTTTTTATTTATTTCAGTGCAAAGTCTGAAATCTCTTGCATATTTGCAGCTTATCACACACTACTCAATATATCTGGTATTCTTTAAAATTAGTAAACGAAAAATTTATTGCTAATGTTGCTTTTTAAAATATCAGCAATTGTTAAAATGATCAAAGTATCTTTTTGAATATGGATACGATTTCAGACAAACCTGATACATTTTTTTAAGTGTATAAATATTGTGCACGTTTTGGTTTGCTGTTAAAACAAAAGAGTCTATGACGCAAAAAAACCGTAAAGCAAAAAAGAAAAATATAATCATTAAAAGCCTTCTAAACACACAGGAATTTCGAACATGCAGCCGCACTCACGTCTTATAGGTTTTCATAACTGGAAACGCTTTGTAGGCATATCATTTTAGATGTACGAGTAGTTCTTTGCTTATTTTGATTTTCAATAAAAAATGAAATTCT